AGGGGGTGTCATGGGCCTGGGAGTCCATGTCCCAGGTCCATGTCCGGGGCATCTGAGTGGGCTCTGGGAGTCAGCGAAAATGGGCTTTATCTCAGCTTCTGTCATTAACTAATCTTGCTGCCTTGGACAAGTCACTCTGGGCACCGCTTTCCTTATCTTTAAAATACAAATAACTAATGTGACGTAGTGAAAATAAAGCACAAAGTAGTGATGGGAAAAGATCTTAGAATGCCTTGGATGGAGTGGGGTCCATGGCCAAAGTTCATTACATTATGGTTTTCTTCCCTGTTCACTGGTTTCTGTACAATACCCTGCTCAGGCCTCACAATAAAACAGCTTTCAGGCCCAGCCTGATGGCTCACGCTTGCAATCTCAGCTCTTTGGGAGGCCGAGGCAGGAGGATCACTTGAGGTCAGGAGTTCAAGGCCAGCCCGGCTAACAGGGTGAAACCTGTCTCTACTAAAAAAAGAAAAAAATTAGCTGGGTGTGGCAGCAGGCGCCTGTAATCCCAGCTACTCAGGAGGCTGAGGCAGGAGAATCATATGAACCCGGGAGGTGGAGGTTGCAGTGGCAACAGAGAGATACATTGTCTCAAAAACAACAACAACAACAACAACAACAACAAAAAAACCAAAAAAAAAAACCAAAATAGCAGGTTTCATTCATTCATCACTTATGTAAACTCTATATGCATATTATCCCACTAAATTCTCCAAACAACTCTATGATCAGTGAACTGGCTTTGTTACCATACCAGAAAAAGGAGGCACAGAAATGTAAGTAGTTAGCCTAACTGAAACTAGTAAGAGGTAGAGCCAGGATTTGTGCCCAGGGGTCTGGTCCCACAGCCCCTGTTTTTCACTATTCTGCTCTCTACCTCCTTGGAGGCATGGACAGCTTCTGGAGGGACTGTGATGACAAGGGGAGAAGGCAGGTAACTCACACAGGCTGGAGGGGGCCTGGCCGTGGGCTAGGTCTGTCCATGAGCTGCTTGGGTCAGCTCTACCAGCTTCTGTGTGGAGGGAGCACTCCCTCCTCCCCAGGCCAGGCCAGCTCCAGGGAAGGCCCAAAGATGGGGACAATATCCCATTCCAAGCCACAGGAGCAGTGGGAATGCAAGGTCCAGGTCTGCTCCGGCTTTTGCTCTTGCTCAGAGCTGAATAATCTGGAGCCTTTGAAGAAGGATTTCTGAAAAGCCATCAGGAGTGAATCATTGACTTAGGGAGGCGATGAATCAACGGGGAGTTCATAAAACGGCAAATGAATCGGGTGTGAGAGCGACAGAGCCACTGCTATTCCCCAGAACCCTCCGGGGACAGAGAGCCGAGAGAAAAGAAATAAAAATAACACGGGGCCTTACGCCTGCCACAAACCCCAGGCAGCCCCTCCTTCCAAGTGGGAAGACAGAGTGGGGTAGAGGTACGGGACCCACTGGTGGGTGAAGTGGGGCCAGAGGGAGGCTCCTGGGGGCACTCCCAGCTCTCTGGGTCCAGGCCGTGGGTGTAATTAGCAAATGCCTTTTCACTTCTTTTCAGGAGCCCTCACAAGAAAGAACACTGATTTTGACGAACACCCAAAATAATGTGAGATCAGGCACCATGCATTATGCATGAGGTCTGATTTAACATGAACATTATTTCTTGTGTACGAGACCATATGCCTCCGTGCTGTCTCTGCAGCCTAATAATACCCAGACCCACCCTGGTCAGGCTCAGCAGGAGACACGTCCACTGGTGTGTGTGTGCTGAGGGGAGGGATTGGGGCAAAGCTCTCCTGGTACTTAGTGGTACTTAGGTCTTCTGAGGAGAGCCCACTCAGATGCCCTGGAGCAGGGTGGGTAGTGGGGGGTGGGTCATGCCCTTGGAGAAAGACGAGGGATCTGGGGGTGGGTGTAACCACGTGAATGTGCCACTGTGCATGTGTGTGTGTGTGTATGTGTGTGCATGTGTGTGACATCAGGAGCCCATGACTAGGTGATGCTGGGTTCATTGCATAGCAGTGTGGGGGCATACGCATAGCTGAGGTTTTACTGCATAAGAAGGACTACGGCAGGAAAGGATAGATCTAATTGCTGTGTGTGTTTGTATATATACACGCATATGTATGTGTGGGGGTGTGTGTTTAAAAAATAAGATCACACATACATACAAACACACAGCCTAACTTTAATTATCTGAAAGGAGCAGGAAGAGATCTGGGAGGAGCTGGGACAATGATGGACAGGGATGTGTTTGGAAAGCAGTTTAGGGGCAAGTGCTTGGAAATCCTGAGAGAAGGGGACCGGGTCAAATGTTGCAAAGAATGGCCGTGTGTGCTTAATCACATATTACATGTGCCAGGTACTCAGCAGCTCTGAAGAGCTCAACACCAAAGACCAGGAAGCTGGTCTCGGACCGCTCAAACTATGGTGTGGGTGTGACCACGGGTGTGTTAGCATGTGTGTGAGTGAGCAAGGTGGTGAGAGCCTGGATCGGGGTTTTAACTGACTGAGGGGAGGAGTGATGGGGATGGGGATGAGTGGGAGAGAGACAGAGGAGGTGGTATGTGATCGTGGGTTTCTGAGAGTGGCTGTGTGAATGGATGGGGTGGGAGATGAGAGGGAAGGGTCATGGATAAGCATGTGTGTGTGTGTGTGTGTGTGTGTGTGTGTGTGTGTGTGAGACAGAGAGAGAGAGACAGAGAGAGAGAGTGCAAGAGAGGCAGGCTTGCTTCCTCTGGAGACTAAAGTTGCCTCTGCTCTCTAACTGCCAGTCCCTCCTGGAGGAGCCCACTTGAAGCTTACTTTCTGGGGGCATCCTTAGCTTCAAGGTGGCTCTGGTGACTGCTGCCAGGTCCCAGTTCAGGGACCAATAGAGGGCAGTCCTCTCACATGGAGGCCTCAGAGGCAGCAAGGGGAGCCCTGAATGGCCAAACGCCATTTGAACTCCAGGGCCTTTAAATATGACAGGCAGGGACAAAACTGATGGCTCCTCCAGCTGCTTCTGGTCTCACTCTCCAAGTCAGAGGCCCTGAGTAGATCATCTCGGCTGAGCTTAGGAGAGAAACTAGGACAGGTGACCAACCTCCTCTCACTCCACCCCCTGTTTAGGTGGGTCCCCTTTTTGGAGCTGAAGCCCTGCTGGGGAAAGTTCCAGGGAGGGAGGCAGTCTGGCCCTGGGTGTGTCATTGGAGGCCCAGAGCCTCTCCAGGGCAGGCTGAGTTCTGAACAGCTCTACATGGGCATCTGCGATTGGGGGTCAGTTAGTCCTATGGATGTCCAGTCAAGTCCTAGGGTCAAGGGATGATTGCATGGGACCTAAGGCATGCAATATATAAACTAGTGCAACCTTCTGGGCAGTAGGAGGGGGAGAATATAAATGTCCTCCTGCCGGGTTTGCCTTGATGACCACAGGTGACAAGCATGACCACCTTCCTTCCGTTTGGTACTGGCCAGCCTCCATCCTGTAAATGCTCTTCCAGCTCAGCTCAAAGCATTAGCAATGCAGCCTTGGTTGTCTTTTTCCTCTCCTACCTCTGGGATCAGCTGTGGCTTTGCACACACAATGGCATACACACAAATTCTTACACCAACTTGCAGAAGTTCACATGGGGACAGGGAAGTTCTAACTGCCGTAATCTGTGGCCACATCATCATAAACAATAATTTTGTTCAAGTGAGAAGGGGAGGGAGATGGGATTAGAAAATTCTCAATATGCTAGGGAAAGCTTGGACTTCCTTGGAGGTCGATGCTAGGGTCACATACCTCTCCTGAACAAAAGGAAGTCTGACGTTCTCAGGCACAAGCAGGTAGATACACATACCCTTGGGACAGAGGCTGCATCAAGGCCACAGTGGGCTGTGCTTGTCCTAACTCTGTTCTATCCAGGGAAAAAGATTTCTCTTCCTATAAAGTGCTGAGGTTCCTGCTGTCTAGGGGCCTTCTGCGACCAAGGGGTTGGTCACTGGGTAGCTATCCCACGCTGGTGTCTCATTAAGCCAAATCCTTGCAAAGTAAAAGATTTTCTTCCATCCCTTTTCCCACTTTTTTTTTTTTTTCCATTTTTTTTGTTCTACTCCTCAGCTGCTGCTGGTTCTTGGGAGGTTGCTTTGTTTTGCTGTTTTTGAGTTGACTTGCTTAAATAATAAACCTACCCTCTTGTAGAGGATTAAGCAGACAATTAGGAAATCAATCAATCAATTGGTGTCAGCTGCAGGCAGAGGCCAGTGAAAGGCCCCATCTTCCTGGTGGCCCTTTGCAACCTCAAAACCTGCTGAGGCTCTGGGCCTCGCAGGCAGCGGGAGCTCTCAGCTTCATTTGCTTCCATTTCAGAGCCTTGAGGCTGGGACAAATCCAGGAATGGAGAAAAAAGGAGGGAGGAGGGAAGAGTGTGTGGCACCTTCAAAGTTTTGTACTTAGTGGAGCAGGAAATGAGAGGCCGAGGCAGGGTGGTCAGTGGCTCCTGGCTGTGCCATTGCCTGGCTGGCCTGTTCGTTCCCGCTTCCTCTTTAGGAAACACGGGAGGGCAGGCTACCTGGCCCACCAGTGTGGGGAACGGCTGGGACACAGGTGCCAATTACAGGGCTACTGGCTCACCTGGCTGGACTGAGGAGGAAAAGAAAAACGGAGCAAAGGAGTGAGAGGCTGGGGCTCTGGAAACTGAGGCAGCATTTGTGCTTGCAGAGACAATCCCCTCCAAGAGTGAGGGCCGAGCACAGAAAGTCACCAGAAACTCCCAGTATGGCACAGTCATCCTGAGGCCCCAGCCCGTGAGAGAGCACCAACTTGGGGCCCTGTGGACACCTCTCTGGACACCCCTGACGCCGTCGGCTGGAGGCCAGGCCTCTCACAGGCCTGGACATGGGCAGCTTCCTTTCAGGAGGGGCCCCACATATCCCTTCACTAGGGACAACTTTCTCCCCAGCTAAGAGATTATGCCTTCAAGCTTTGGCTTCACAAAGAGGGAGAGAAATTGCATGTGGCTTCTCCTGAAAGGGGAAAAGAACCTCGTTTACGGAGGGAGCAGGAAGAGCTCTTTTATTAGTGTTTTTAAGAACAGTTGTTTTAAAGGAGAAAATAAGATTGTGACTGGAACACAGGTAGTGTGGGGTTCTGCTCCTGGAGCCAGATCTGCCCCCAGACACCCTGACTCGCTCCAGAAGACAGCATCTGAGAATGTCTATGCTCTCGGCTGCACTCCCTACAGCAGTCTTGGGTACCCACGCTTGGAGAGGAGACATCAGGTCTTTCTGGTGGCACAGTTGCCCATGCCTCCACTTCTCCCCAAGAGAAAGCTGGGGCAGTGGTTTTTGCAGAGAAGTAGGACTGGCTTTGCCCAAGCAAATTGGCAGGGCTCCCTCCCCAGGCTGACCCAGCTCATACAGGACCACAAAACCGACCTCTATCTAAGCTGTTGGAACTTCCAGTGGATCCAGGGAGGCTTGTGCACCATTTGTTTTTGAGTGGAGAGCCTGCTGGAGAGTAGGATGGTGGGGCCTGACCAGGCTGCCAGGTGCCCTAGGACCCGGAATGGTGAACTTGGCCCAGACCCCTCATATAGAGTGCAAGGTGAAATGAAAGTTGGGGGTTGAGGTGTCAGGTGGGGAATTATAGATTCTAGGCTGGTGACCCAGGCCGAGGTGGGCTTCTTTCTTGGCCGAGAAGAGCAGTCGAGTTGTGCATGAGCGATGGCTGACCCGAATTCCATGTGGTGTCTTTGGCTCACTGTCCCAGGCCCTGGTTTGGTCTAGGAGAGTCTGTCTACAGCAGGGGGACATGAAGTGGCTTCATCTTCCCTAAACTGATGGGCATGAGGCAGGGGCCCAACTGTTGCCCACGGCCTGATATCCATCTAGGTCTGCACAGTCATCTTCCTCCAAGATCTCTCTTAGTGAGATCAGAACTTTAGGGAGGTGAAGCAGGGTATGCCATCACTTCACCCCCAAACCCACCAAGCCCTAGCAGTAAAGAGGACAGGACACAGCCCTGGGGTACATGTTTATGTGAGTAATAAAATATTTACTATAACATAAATATAAAGGGAACTTCCCAGTCTACATTATTATTTTTGTTTTTTGCAATAAAGATACAAAGAGAATGCACCGAAACATTGTTTCAAAAATAATAAAAATAAAATAACAAAATTTAAATTCAAACCTTAACAAACAGAAAAAGAAATGGAGAAAGGGGAAGCTCCAAACACATCCAGAAAATAAATAGAGATGGGTCAGAAATTCGGAAATCATATTAAAATATCTTTTTCGGATTAGTCAGTGTACAAAATCCTTTAGGGTAGGAAGGAAGGGTAGCCCGGAAAACCAAAAATAAAAACCAAGCACAAAATGTTTCTTCTCCCCGCCAGTGTGTACATATCTCACATATTTACATGGTTCCCACCTCACCAAAGTTGGGGAATTTTTCTCCCAGCCTCCCCTGGCATCCCGCATCCCGGCGGGCTGGAAAGGGAGCAGAGGGAAGCTGCAGGGAATCAGGCGGAGGGTTCTCAGGGAACGGCTTATTTCTACAGCTGGTTAAAAAAAAAATCTCTCCAACTTTTCCAAGTTTCGTTTGGTGTGGCCAGGAGGGCAGGGCCCCGCGGGGAGCAGGGGCCCCTGCCGTGCGGCGGTCGGTCTGCAGCAGGGCAGAAGTCCCTTCCCATCTGGGTGTGTGGGAGCGCAGACCCCTCCCGCGTGACCGGGAACCAAGCCGGGGCTCGGATGAAACGAAACGAAAAATGAACACTCGAAATTTTTTTTGTTAGTTTTTTTTTTTTCTTTTTTTTTTTTTTCTTTTTTTTGAGGGGAGGGTAGGCAAAGATAAAGGGAAAAATAAATTAGGCTAGATTAAAGCTTTGGCTATTTCCTGCTTTTATACACAGACGCGGCTCTCGCGACCTCCCCTCCGGGGCCCCGATAAATACAGTATACAGCGATTTAAATTAAGGGCGCGGGCGGAGTTAGAAGGACCCCAGGAGCCGAGAGGCTCCACGAATAAATAAAAACCGTAAAAAACCAAGCCCGGAGAAAGGGGAAAAGGGGGTGGGGCGCATCCTTATAGGAGAGAAGAGGCTTCTAGCGAATAAAGTGACAGCCCCCCCCACCCTGGACCCGCAGGCTCAGGAGTCCACGCCGGGAGAGGGGATGGAGAACTCTCCTCGCTTCGTCCTCTCTCCCGGGGAATCCCTAACCCCGCACCGCGTTACCTGTCGCTTTGGGGAGGCCGCTGCCGGGATCCGGCCCCGAACAGCCCGGGGGGCAGGGGCGGGGGTCGTCGAGGGGATGGGGGCAGAGAGCAGGCGACGGGCAGGATGCCCGGGGTGAGTTGGCGAGTTCCGGATCTTCGCTCCTCTCTCCCGGGGCTCGGGCGACGCAGCCTACTGGCCGTCTTCGCCGCTCACCAGAGAGGGTCGTCCGGGTGTTTGGTTTTGTTCGAAAGTTTCTGGGCTTTTTTTTTTTTTTTTTTGTAAAATCCAAAGCAACCGAACAAAAAGAGTCCAGGCCGCGCGGGCGGGCTGCGCGCCCGCGCCCTGCAGCGCGCCGGCGGGGGTCCGGCCCGCGGGGTCACTGCACAGAGCCGGGCAGTGTGTGATGGTGGTGGTGATGCAGCGCCGCCGGCGGGGGCGGCGGGGGCGCCGAGGGTGGCGATGCGCCGCCCCCGCTGGGCCCTAGCTCCCCAGGCGCGTAAACATCGTCCATGGGCGGGTGGCCCGCGCCGGCCGCAGGGGTCATGCGCTTCTCCTTCTGCCGCCGGTTGCAGAACCAGACGCGCACCACCTCCTTCTCCAGCTGTAGGCTGTCGGCCAAGCCGGTGATCTCGTGCGCCGAGGGCTTGGGGCACTTGAGAAAGTGGCTCTCGAGCGCGCCTTTGACCCCTACCTCGATGGACGTGCGCTTCTTGCGCTTGCGGCCCTGCGCCGCGATCTTGTCCAGGTTGGTGGGGCTGCCGCTGGACGAGTCGGTCTCCTCCAGCCACTTGTTGAGCAGCGGCTTGAGCTTGCACATGTTCTTGAAGCTCAGCTGCAGGGCCTCGAAGCGGCAGATGGTGGTCTGCGAGAACACGTTACCGTAGAGCGTGCCCAGCGCCAGCCCCACATCGGCCTGCGTGAAGCCCAGCTTGATGCGCCGCTGCTTGAACTGCTTGGCGAACTGCTCCAGGTCGTCCGAGCTTGGCGCATCCTCGTCCGAGTGCTCGCCCACCGACGAGCCGCCGCCGCCCGCGCCCGGGTGCAGGTGTGCCGCCGCCGCGTGCAGGCCGCCCGCGTGTGCATGTCCGTGTGCGTGTCCGTGGGCGCCCAGATGAGGCGGCGGCGACGGCTCCAGCTGCGCCTCGTGGCCGTCCTCGTGCAGCGCGTGGTGCAGGCCCGGCCCCGCGCCGCCACCGCCCGCCGCCAGCATCCCGGCCAGGCCGCCGCCACCGCCCCCCGGGTAGGCCGCCTGCGCGTACAGCCCGAGCGGCTGAGGCTGGTGGCCCCCACCGGCCCCGGGCGACGGCGACATGGCTGGGCCCAAGTGGTGCGCCGTGCTGCCCTGCGCCCATGCCGCGCCCGCGTGGGCCGCCCCCTGGTGCACCAGGCGCGCGTGGAAACCTCCGCCGCCGCCGCTGTCGTCGGCTCGGCCGGTGCCGCCGCCGCCTGCCTTGCCGTGTTCTAGGTGCGGGCCGCCGGCCCAGTCGCCGCCGCCGCCTCCTCCGGTGGGTAGCCACTGGGGGTGCGCTAGGCCCACGGGGTGGCCCGCGCCCGCGCCCAGCCACTCGTGGTGCATCAGCTTCTGCACTTCGCGGTACGCGGCCCCTGCGTGCAGTCGCTCGGCGGCCGCCGCCGCCGCCGCTGCCGCCGCAGCGTCCGGGTGCATCAGCGGCCCGGTGCCCCCGGCTCCGCCACCGGGGCCCCGCGGCAGGTACTGCGCGGTGGTGGCCATGCCGCCCCGCGCCCTGCGCCGCGCCGCCGCCGCCGCCGCTCCGCTCCGTCTGCGGGCCCCGCCGCCTCGCTCCGCCGGCTTAAAGACCCGACCCGCTTGGCGCTCTGGAGCCCCACCCCGCCCGCCGCCCATTGGCTGCCCGCGGAGCCGCCTCCCGCCCCCCGGCCCCGGCCCCCGCCCCCCGCTCCCTCCCGCAGCCCGGCCCGGCCGCCCAGAGCTCTCCATTGGGCGTCGCTCCCGGGGTCCCGCGCGCCGGCCGTGCTGATTGGCCGCTGGGGCTTCATTCACGGCCCCCCTACAGTCCGCGTACACACTCACGCCCCGGGGGCGCGGCCGCCACGTGGGGAGTGGCGCGGGGGTGGCCCTGGGACCGCACCCCCTCTCGTCCTGGCTGTGTGGGCCCAGCTTTCCCCCAGCGCTGGAGACTCCGAGCCCGGCCGGTCCCACATTCCACGCGAGTTGAATTCCCGCCCGCATCCCGCCCGGGCAGCCGGGATTGCGGGCTCCGGGAGGCGCTCGGGCTCCGAGAAGCGGCTCAGCCCCACGCCCCTCCCTCCGCAGTACCGCTGCCGGCGGACCAGGATTCCCGCGGGTCCTGGCGGCTGCGAGCGGGAGGCGGCGCGGATTCCCGGCTCGGTTCTGGCGCGACTGCTCACCGCGCCCGCCCGCCCGCCTCTCCTCCCGCGGCTGCCAGCGTGCACCGGGCGCTCCTCGGCGCGTCTGCCCGGTCTTTCCTTCTCCTCCCTGTAGTCCCAGCGTCGCAACTCCGCCAACCTCAGCTGCCCTGAGAGCGCGTCCGGCGCGGCCGGAGTCGGACGGACTCGGGCTTCACGCCTCGCGGCGGCATCCCTTCTCCCCGGCACTGCGGCCCAGGTGAGTACCGCGCGGGCGGCTGGGGCTGGAGCGGCGGGCGGCAGCGGTTCTACAGTCCTACGCGAGCCCCCGGTACCCGGCCCCGCTCCGAGGTTCCGGAAGGAGAAGACCTCGAGGTGGAGACTGTGGCTCCGGGGAAAACGCTGCTGGCGAGGGCGCTAGTGAGGGGTGGACATTGGGCCCAGGGGTATCCGACTTGCTCCGTTGCAGCCTTCTCGCTCCTCCCAGCTTGAACGGCTCATCGGCTGTGGTCATGGTGGGGCCACCCCCGGGAGAGGAGAGAAGAAGTTTGGACTCAGGGAAGGACCGCGGGCACTCCAGAAATCCGGCGTGCAGGCCGGGAGCTGTCCAGCCTCGCCAGGAGCCCCGGGCTGGAGTTTCCCCGGACTTGCCTGGAGCTTCTGAAAAGGGAATTGAGATGAAGGAGACCTTGTTGGAAAGGTGGGCAGTGGAATTCAGCTACCTCCTCACGCCCCAGCCCTTGAGGACCCCCTGAAGGATCTTGAGTGGAGCTGGACCTCACTGCAGTTCCTCTGTGCCTCCTTACCCGACCTTGGGCCCCAGGCTGAGGGGACTGAGCTGTGTGTTCTCTCCTCTACCCTACACCGAGGCTTGGGTCCCAGGGAGTCTTCAGCTGCCAGTCTTCCCACTTTTGTCTCCTGGATCTTGCCTCAAGTGGATTTATAGCTTACAGGGCCCCGGGGTCCCAGATCACAGAACTGAGCTGGGGGCCCAGCCAGGGGCCCACTGAGCAAGTCAGGTCTGTGGAATAAAGCCTCAGTGTGCGAAAAAAGGTACTGGGGGCTCAGGTGGCAGATGGCATTGGAACGATCCAGGGTGGCTGGGACAGAGTTGACAGTGACAGGGGTCACCCTGGGCAGTGACTTTGATCATGTGGGCCCTGAATGGCCTAGGACCGAACAGGGAAGGAGTGGGACAGAGCAGGGCCCTTGTCTGGCCATTGGTCACTGTCCTGAGCAGGCTCCATGGTCCCACCCTACCTGTAAGAGCTGTGATGGAGTTCTGTGTCTGAATCCAGCTAGAGATACTGGGCTTTCCTGGACTCTGGCCCAGGAAATGGTCACCTTGAGACAACCCAGGCCCTTCACCTTCCTGCCCCCTTTCCCAGGCCCAGGAGATAGGAGGTAGGCTGGGAATCCTGCAGTGAAGTCCCCTCTCATGCCAGCTCTAACCAGGCCTGTGTGATATTGAAGCTTGGGCTTTCAATCTGGAGCTGCCGTCATCTTCCTGGGCAGGAGTAACTCTGATCCACTCTTCCTAGCTCTGGGTTTTCCTTCCTGTAAGTTGGGAATAACAGTAATATAAGCAGCCCAGCTGTCTCACCAAGGTAGGTCAGATAGTGGTGTGAGGCAATGGGGGTGTAAAGCTCTCAGATGGGTGCTTACTCTGGTTGTTTCTGTTGTTGCTATTCAGTGAGGGGGCAAGGCATTCCCCTCTCCAACTAAATCTCAGTTTCTTCACCTATAGCATGGGATTGCAGAGGTTTGGACCAGTTGACCTCTCTGGCATTTCTCACTCTCATGGTCAGTGATTCTGTAATCTGTCTCAGTTCCTGTTGGAGGAGGGGAAATGTCTGGACAGTGGACAGAGGTTTCAATGTCCAGCCTTTGGAATTGCCACTGAGGCTGGAAGAACAATGACCAACAGGCACCGTGTTTTTTTTTTTTTTTTTTTTTAATTATACTTCAAGTTCTGGGATACATGTGCAGAATGTGCAGGTTTGTTACATAGGTATGCATACAGGCACGGTGTTTTAACAAGTACTTTAACATCTATGATTTTACTGTACCTCTCAGCCCTGTGAGAGAGCACTGAGATTATCTTCATTGCCTAGATAAGGGACCCAAGATTTGTCCAATGGCACAGGACCTGTGAGTTTCCACTCACCATTCTCCCCATTACCATGGGATGGGGGCCTGTGGAGGCAGCAGCTTTGGCTGGCACAGCAAAGAGAGCCGACAGCCCTGTTTTTAGTAGGTCTCAAGGGCAGGCCAGGGCCTGCCAGGGCTCCTGAATCCATCTTCCCAGGTCTGTGCTGAATTGAGGGGCATTGGCAGCAAAGCAGTAGCCAGGCTTCTAGATTATCAGCTTGTCACCCAGCAAATCAAAGTCCCAGTCCCATCACACCCTTTAGCAGCCCTGTGACTGTGTGAGCTACATTGCCTCTTGGAGCTTAAGTTTGTGCATCTTACAGTGAGAACAATGCTGCCTGCTTCTCGGGGCTGCTCTGAGGCTCCACAAATGAAATAAGGCATCCAATTTAGGTGCCCTTTAAATGTTAGATGCTGCCCTGGGGTGGGAAGCAGTTTGAAGTAGGGAAGATAAAATTCCTTTCTCTGCTTTGGAAATTTTAGACCTTCTAAAAGGATATGGGTTTGGTCTTGAGTCAGAATTTTCTTGTATTAGAGTTAAGATTCCCCCCTGAAGTCTTGACATTCTTCTCAAGATTCTGTTTGGGACACTAGGGCCAAGATATGGCCACTGGCAGAAACACCTGCAGCTGAGCAGCCCCTTCCTCCTGGAGCACCACCTTCTCAGGCCCTCACCCTCAGACCCACAACACATAGGCAGGTATACACACAGAGGTCAGACACCCACCTGATCCATGTAGACACAGAGTGGTGTGGACATGAGAACAGGTGTGCACACACACACACACACACACACACAGATACAACCATGCAATTTAGCACAGGACCGAACATACAGATTCACAATAGGAACACACAGACTCACACCATTAGGTGGAATATTCATAGTCACACAAAGCAACACCCAGTGGTAAATACAGGCATGTGTCTAAACAGGGAGATACACAGAACCCACACATAGGCTGAAATAGGCTCAAGTAGGCACTGCTTTGCTGACACAGAGATACACGAAACCTACAGGCTCTTGGGGCCACAAACAAGAAGACTCTTAGCTGGCATGCCAAGTCACACACATAGGCACACCGTCATATTCACATACATGAGCACACGGAGCCAGCCATGCACACCCTCTCACCCAGATGCACAGATACAAAGAGGCTCGCCCCACACATCACAGAGACACACAGACATATCCACCCACACCCTGTAAGAAATACAGCTCCGCGCAGGGGATCGGAAAGCAGAGGAAGGGGCTGTGTCCAATCCAGAGTTTGGTCTGCGTGGTTTGATTGTGGCGCTAGTCCCAGGGAAACAGGGAAGGCTTTTCTTTTCATATTTTTTCCCACTCTCCTTGTCTGTGGAGGGCAGCTCCGAGCCAGGCCGCCGCCAGTTTCAGAGGCTCCCGGGCCTCCCTCCCCAGCGGGGCCTCTGCCCAGCCCGCCCCCAGGCAGGATCTGCTTGGGCTTTCCCAGAGCACAGAGGCCTCCTCCAGGCTCTGGAGTGTGACCGAGCGCCTGCTCATTTGACACAGGTCACCGAGCCTCCAGCAGATGGGGCCCTCACTGTGGGGGGTCTCTGAGCCGGGGGCTGTGGGGGGCTGGGAGTGGGAGGGAGGCTCTGCAGGGATGAAGGGCAGGCTACACAATCTCCAGCTTCTTATACTCTTTCTGCAAAGCTCTGGGTTACAGATGTGGGCCCTAGAATACAACTATACTCACGAGGCAGTCGCCATCAGCACCCTGGCGGCCACGTATGCAGGGCAGTATTCCAGACACACATCCCAGATGACAGGGGGGCTAACAATGGCACAACGAGCACAGCTTTGGGAAGGAGAAAGAGGAACAGCCTTGCTCCGCATCTCCTGCAGGCAGCTTTCCCCCTTTGGTTTATGAGCCTCTGAGCTCTCTTCTGCGAATAGATCAGTTGCTGAGGAGTCCAGGACGGGCTGAGAGCAGGTGCAGTTTCAGACCTCAGGCCTTTTCAGTGCTGGGGGAAGGCAGGCTCCAGTATGTTCCACGTGGATTCCTCACAAGTCAGGAATGCAGAGAAGAAGAAAAGAAGAGAGATGGGGCCCATGGGAAGTGCTGCCGGATGGGCTGTGTGTCTCAGGGTGCCTCCTGCATGTATGGGATTTGAGACGCTGAGGCTGGCTGGACCGGCGCAGCACTCATGGGCCACTTCCTTTCCCTCCTGCCAGTCTCCTTATGCCCTGGATCTTGCCTTTTCAGAGTGATCTGGCTTGGCAGTCAAGGGTCCTGGGTTCCATCTTGGCCCTGACTCAG